TCTGCACCTATTTTAAGCTAAGCATAAATTCATGCTGATTCTCCAACTTTAATCATTTCCGTAATTATCATAATTGTAGCCTCCTCTCCCTGCTCATCTGTAAACCCCAATTCTAGAAGAGAAAAACCTGGCTCTCCCCATGCATCACCCATTTACTTAATTGTTCAATTAAGTGTATACGTACAGCCACATCAGAATTGTCAACCCTAAGCCTGCAAGAAACATCTTAATCAACTAGAATATGAAGTTTCTAAGAATAAAGTACAATATGGAAAACAAATACTTACAATGGAGAGGCCTCAGCCAGGTGCCCAAGGTCAGTGTCTACAGCAATGAGTAGTGTGGACAGTGGGTACCTTCAACGTGACATGATGACAGTAGCAGTTTGTCCCTGCAGTCTTCCTCCCCAAATCCCACAATCCCAGTGTAATTATGAGAAACCCATGGGCCAAATCCAAAGAAAGGGACATTCTACAAAATATCTGACCAATGCTCCCCAAAACTACTACGGTCAGGCGGCTGGAGTTGTGGCACAGTGGTTGAGCATGGGCTTAGGATGTGCAAGGTCCTATGTTTAATCCCAGGCACAAAACAAAACAAAAAAAAATACCCCACCAAGGTCATCAAAAACAAAGAAAGTAACACAACCAAGAGAAGCCTGAGGAGACACAGCAGCTATGTAAATGCAAAGTGGTATCTTGGATGAAGTTTCGGAACAAAGGACATTAGATAAAATCTAAGGGAAGCTAAAGTATGGGTGTCAGCTAATGATGCATCAGTATTTTGCTCAGGAATTATGTAAGGATACAAGATGTTATTAAGGGAAACTGGATATGGGATATAGACTCTACTGTCTTCACGGTTTTTCTATAAATCTAAAACTATCCTTTAATCAGGTTTATTTTTAAGAAATGAATGGAAAAGCTCTACGCCAAATTCAAGATGATGGTTACTTCTGAAGGTAGGAGAATGAGACCTGGGATCCTCCTATGTTGATAATATTTAATCACCATTTTAAGAAGGTAAACCCTGCAACCAGGCTGCCCATGGTCAGTGATCACCAAGCCACACAAGCTGTGCCATAGTTCTGAGGCCAGAGAGGTAGGGAGGGTCTGGGAGGAGCACAGGGTTAGGGAGAACTTCTAGGGAAGTGAGACAACCGCTGGGCAATGAAAACTAGTGGAGAGGAGGGAAGAGTTTGAGAGTAAGCCCCAAACAAGGCATTGGCTGAGACTGTGTGATGTGTGGTGTCTCACTGTGAGGGACAAGCTGTGGCCCTCTTGGGTAGAAGAGTTGAGTAGCAAGACGGAGAATGGTGTGAAGGGGTTCAGATTTGCTCCTATTTATGTAGATGGTAGTCTGGTCTGCTGGCCCCCAGTAGGCCCAGCCCTGGGCAAAGGTGTCCTGAGGAGCTTCCCCTACCTATGAGATATGCACTTATTTGTATAGCAGAAAGAACCCTACAACTTTCCCTACCTGAAGCACCATGCCCTAGGCTGTACTGTGTTTGCTTCAGGGAGACCTGGAGGGCTGCTGGCTGCTATGGGGATGCTTTCACTGAGAACAGTAAGGAAACTGGGAAAGGTCCTTGGCTCCCTAAGTGAGTGCAATTCAGCTCTGCCCAGAGAGGCAAGAAGAGATCTGACCACAACACAGCCCTGTGCACAGTCTTGCTGCCATGTCCCCTCTCGTTGCTGCCATAACATGGGTGGATAGCCAGGCCACCATTGTGACCCAAGTGAAGCAGAGCAGGAGAACAGATTAGCGATCACAAAGAGGTCACACATTCTGAAACCCAACTGAAATGGCTTTGGGGAGCAAAACTCACACAATCCAAGAATTTAAAGAGCCTAAGAAGACATCAGACACAGCAGACTCAGCATCGCATGTAGGATTTCCCTCTGGCCAACCTGATCCACCTGCAGCAAGCTTGAGCAAGGACCCCAGCCCCTCCTCAGGATGAGCCCAGAGAGCATTCCACCCAACCACTGACCAGGCTTTCAAAGGCGTTGCTATCAAAAAGGACAAAGAAGGAGAACAAATGTCCCTGATGAAAGGAAGCTAAAGAGACAAGATGCCGGAAAGCAACACATAGTCCTGGACAGTAAAAAAAAGGAAAGGAGAAGGAAGACCAAAGGACAGTACTGAGACAACTGGAGAATCTGAGTATGAACTATAGATCATGCAATAGCATTATAACAAAGTTCAACTTCCTGATTTTGACAGTTGTGTCATTTGTTAATTATGATTATAGAAGAGATGGTCTTTACCTTTATGGAATACATTCTGAAGTATTTAGGGATAATGGGGCAAAATGTCCATAGTTGATTTTCAAATGCTTCAGAAAAATAATACTAATACATAGAGAGAGAATATTAAAGCAAAGGTGGCAAAATGTTAGTTTGCAAATCTCACTGAAAGGTAGATGGAACTTCTTTGCATTCTTCTTCTTACTTTTTTTATAAGTTTGAAATCAGTCCCCCAAAATAAGTGCTTTTTAAATGTACGCAAATTCTCCCAAAGAGAATGAATTTTTTCCATCTATAGAACTGAATGTGATATTCCCACAACCTCTGCTCAAGTCTCAGGAGCCACACAGAGCACCCACTGCCCTCTGATACTTGAAGACAATTGTCATTTCCTTCACTCACATAGCCACCCAGGCACTCTCCCCATCTTATCCAGGCTGCACTTCCTCGCCTCCATCCTGATCCGCCTTCTCAGAGACTAAGATTCGTTGTCAGTGAAGAATTCTCACCTACAACTTCTACTTTCTTGCTTGCTTTTTACTGGCAAAGGGTCCTGGCAGCAGGGTAGCAGCAGCTTCTCTGGGGGAGTCCTGAGTCCAAGATGCCCACCAGGACCTCTTCCCTGGCCAGGTTGGGCAGTCAGAATGTGCAGGAAATTGGGGCTGGGAAGTAATTTCCTTGAACACTCTGCAGGGATAGCCTTGATCCTCTAAGATGGTTGGGAAGCTTGGCAGCTGGAATGGCACTTTGCTAAATTTGGCAGGCCTGGGGGGAAATGAGACTTTTTCCATCAGGAAGTCTGCTTTGGCTAACGTCTCTATCCCGTCTGTCATGCCGTTCTCTGCCAGGAGCAGGAGCTGCCTGGAGTGCAGAATCTGTTTGCCTGCAGTGAGGGGGGAAGAGGGAGCAGCTGATGAGCACTGGGAGAAGCCAGCACCTGCCAGGCCACGGCCCCTGCAGCCATCATGACTCTGATCTGGGCATGACTTTTGCAGCTCAGAGCATCTGAGGACTGGCAAGAGACAGCAAAATGTCCCTGGTGCACCTCTCTGTATCTAGGCAGGGTTCTTCACTAACACAACACAAGCAGGAATGGGAAGGCCTCTGTCCAGAGGAGAGGACACAAACTAGTGGGTTGGTGACCATATTCAATTTACAGGCTCATTTAGATGGACTGTAAAGTTTATACTTTTTTCAATTTGTGGAGAACATTTAATAATTAAGAAGAATCACATTTTTTAAAAAAAGCATCAGACATTTGCTGAGAGTTCAGCAGCTCTGCATGTTCACATGGTATATTCAGCTCCTGCTCAGCTGCCGTGGGCCCTGGGGAGTAAGGGATCCATGTAATTAGCCACAGGCCTCATCACTCTATTGCTCCCTGACTCTGGGGCTCAGGGTCACTTAGGGTTTGTCGTCACATTGTACTATTGTTGTTCTTATAGTAGACTCATGATTTTTCTATCCTTGTCTCCCTCTCAAAAGTGGGAGAGCACAGGATGTCTAGAGTGCATCTCAAGGAGAAGCATCATCCACACCAACCACTGCCCTTATATTCCTTTTTTTTTTTTTTTTGGTACCAGGGATCGAACTTGGGTCTTTGCCCTTGCAAGGCAGGCAGCAGAACCACTGAGCTAAATCCCCAGCCCTGCCCTCTTATATTCCATTTCTGCCTCTCTGACCCTGAAAACTGGCCATTTCGTGTTGGAGAATTGGATTCCCAGTTTTCTTTGGTGCTCACTTAGGACATGGTCAATCCAATGTAAACATATCTTTCACCATCAAATCCTTCCAGATTTCTAAATAAGAGACTATAGCTCCTACCTCTTTGTTAATAAATCCATTCACACACACACACACACATTCACACAGACACACACACACACTTTGGGACTGGAGATTGAACCCAGGGCTTCGTGCATGCTAAACAAACACTCTATCACTGAACCACATTCTCAGTCCACCTGATAAATCTATTCTTAATTTAAAGCAATCAAAATCCCCAGTGCCTGACAGTTCCACACCCTCCTGCAACTGAACTGAGAGGAGAAGCTGGGAGTCTTTCCTTGGGCCTTGTCCTGTCTGTCCCTTTGACTGATGAGGCCCTAGTGTCAGAAAGGGAAGAGAAGTCAGTGGAGGAAGCAGGAGCAGTAATCCTGTCCTGTCACCTCCAGAGGAGCTGAAATGAGGTCTGGATGGCAGCTCCAAAGGAGGTCACCCACTCAGAGCAGAGACCTCCTGACATGACTGAAAAAAGGTGGAGCCTCTATTTTAAGCCTGTGAGAACCACACAGTAATGCACCTTGAATACAAAGTCTTTTTCTTTAATAAAATCCATGATTAAATTGTAAACAGTTCTTATGTTGTATATGTGTATGCACATGCATATCGACAGTAGATCTGTATCACTGATTTTGAAATCTTGTCTTGATATATCTATTTTTTTTCTTTCACATACCAGAGGCTCCCAAGCTGAAAGTGCCCCTAGCTTCCTCTGGAAACCCATATCCCTCCCTATGTCCTCCCTTGGGGCAGGCAAGGTTGATCATGTCATCCACAACATCCTGTCCTGGGGATAAGAGATGAGGCCTCAGGATTAGTCAGCAGCCACCAGTTGCCACACAGGAGATTTGCCTGGGTGGGGAATGCTCAAATTCCCATGACAAGAAGGACGGAGCAGGGGCCGCAAGTTGTGGGTTTCAGAGTAATACCTGCTATCCACTTTACTTGGGCCTCCTTGGCTCTACTGACCTCAGCTTTGGCTTCTCTTGTCACACCTGCCTGGAGCCCTCCTCTCCAACTGCCCATTTAACTGCCACTCCCACCACACTGGAGGAGGGAACTCTGGGGGACCAACATTTCTCAGCGCACATTAAAGGGCACTCCCCACTCCCAGGATGGGCCTAGGCCAGACAGGTCTGGCTCCTTCTGTAACAGAGCCACCTCCTAGCCTGTCTTACATTTGCAGAAGAGAGGGCTGAATCCTCCCTCCAACCCCAGTTTTGAGGATGAGGAAGGCACTAAGCGAGGCCCTCATGACTGGCCTGGCAAGGGAGGCCAGTGCCCAGAGCACAGACCCCTACCACAGGCCCTGCCTGGGAGAACACATCCCATTTCTTTCTCTGTGTTCCAAGGAAGACAAAATGCCCCGGGTCAAGAGAAGGAAAGGGAATCCAATTTCAAAACAGGGAGGTATCATGCATTTGTTCATTCATTCCCCATTCATTTTGCCAAAGTAAAAGAGCAATTTGAGCTCAGTGTTCTTTTCTTGAAGTAAACAAAAAGTCAGTTCAGAGCAACACTGTAGCTAGCTCTCGCACATGAAAGCTTCCTATTGTCCTTCTGCAAGCGTTGCAAACTCTGGAGCTCTAGTCTCATCTGCTTCCTTGTGTCTGTCTGAGCCTTGTGCGGAGCAGGTGGCCAGTTGTGAAGTCAGGGAAGGGTTCCACAGTGGCCCATGAACTGGATGAGAAAGAGCTAAACCTCTAAATTTAGAAATAGCAAGTCTTGATTCACTTTTAGGAATGCATTAGACAACCTGCAAGACCTTCTTTACTGAACTCACGTGGGTTTTATGATGCTTTTGCTGTAGCATAGGCACCTCCCCCGCAACACACATCCTGGTGTTGCTTTCCTCAGTTTCAGTTACCTGTAGTCACCTGAAAATATCAAATGGTAAATTCCAAAAATTAACAACTCAGAACTTCTAAACTGCACCATGCTGAGCAGTGTGAAAAACTTATGCTGCCCAGCTTCCTCCCATCCTGGGCTGAGTCATCCCTTTGTTGGCCACTCTGTGCGTTACCTACCCATTATCATTGGGCTTCATCTTGGTTATTAGCTGGGCTGTCACAGAACTGCTGGTTTGTGTCCAACAACCCTCAGCTGATTACATCCCTACAAATGTACAGATGCTGGTCATCTTATTACACCACATTGTTATACTTGTTCCATTTCATTAGTTACTGCTGTTATTCTCTTACTGTACTAACATAAATTTAACTTTATCGCAGCTATGTATGTGTAGGGAAAAGCATGGCTGTGCTCGCTTCAGCAGCACATATACTAAAATTGGGAAAAGCATGGTATACATAGGGCTCAGTACCATCTGCAGTTTCAGGCCCCACCAAGGGTCTGGAAGGGATCCCCTCATCCCCTCGGATGACAGGGGACTGTGTGTGTCAAACCTGCCCTGCTCTCTTCTTACTGTTATCCTAGTCAATTCTCCCCCCTGCTGGTTGTTTCTGGGTTCTCCCCTTCTGCAGAGCAATCCATTCACTGCCTTCCCCTGACCTAGTATTCCTCTTCCTGCCCAAAAGGGGGTGGCAATGAGGAGGGCCTGGCGACAGTTACAGAACTGGACAGTGTGTCCTCCGTGGCCAGTTCTCTGGCCTGAGACGGGGCAGGGCCAGCAGGGGTTTTCTTTATGCATGCCGACATTATCCCACTGAATTTGTCTCCTCCACTTCCTCAGGACATCCAAATCACTGTGGATAACATCATTTGACATTTGCAGAGTCCTCTGTGTGTACCAGGGTCCTTTATCATGTGACAACCCAGGATCTCAGAGACACAGCAGATTCCCTTTCACAAGCTTCCAAACAGATTCGGATTCAGATGCTGCCAGGTTGCTGGAAAGAGGATGCCAAACAAGTTTTCTTCATGCTCACACATGGCAGGGCAGGCAGAGATGGATTTCTCCCAAGACCGACAGTATTTTGGTACTAGGCAAAGAAGACTGGGAACAGACTCTGGAGAGGAATGATGGAAAGGCTGTCCAGTCTCTGCCCACACTGGTCCTTCAGAGAGAGCAGATCTATCTTACATAGTGTGCAGGCTCCCCCGAAGTCAGGGATGCAGTCCAGCCTGGGGAGCACCAGGGAGGGTGCAGGGGAGGGTGTGCTGAAGAACCCATTCAAGGACATTGGAATCAGAAATCCTTACTGTGGTTTTCCTCAGCCTTTAAAAAAAGTTCTATTGTGTGCACTCTTAAACAGCTATGAAACCAGAGGCTCTCTGATGTTTATGAGCCATTACAGATGCAAGCCAGAAAGGAAGGGCCATGTTTTAGGACTCATTCTGGAAACCCCCAGCAACAAGGCAGGGTAATGAAGGAAATGCCCAAAGGACCAGAGCTAACAGTGTTTTATAAACTTTAGGGAAGGAAAACACTGGACCCTATGCTGGCTATGATAATATTATAATAGCTGGGCCAGGGATTTAGCTTAGTGGTTCCACCGCCTGCCTTGCAAGCTCACGGACCCAGGTTCGATCTCCGGTACAAAAAAAAAAAAAATATATATATATATATATATATTACAATAGCTAAGACAGAAATTAATAAACAGCCAAAGAGGGCTCTGTCCTTGAGGGAGTCAGTGCAGAAGATGAGACACACCAAGATTGTGGCTGGAGGTGAATCAGAAGAATGCCAGGTCTCAAGATGGAGATGCAATAGCCAGGCCTGCAAACCTCCCTAGAGATAAACAACAACTTGAGATTCTACTGTAATTATCACCACCTGGTCCTGTGAGCTCAGATAGGCATCAGATTCATAGGTAGGTGACCAGAATGTCCAGATCCATCCTCTCATCCCTTTCCAGGAATCCCTTTGTTCTTTCCATGTACCGTTGCTTGTGACTCATTTCCCTATTGGATCAGTATTACCTAAGCAACTATGCTTGCAGTCCTATAGGTTGATTGTAGTCTGACCTACATTGTACCCACATTGTGATTTTGCTGTATAAATTACCCTTGACAAAGGGCCTGTGACTACCCACTCAGGACCCTTCCTGGAAATCCAAAAGCTATTCTCCTTATTTCCATTAAAAGTCTTCAAACTTCCTCCTTTAGATCACAACTTCATTCCTTGATGTTGTGAGACTGAGACCATGAACTCAACACTTCTGATATCTTTCAGGTTGGGAGTTGTTTTCCCATAACAGTAGGAGGCCAGGATAACACAATGTGAAAAAAGCTGTGGGTCCAATGAGCAGTCCGTAAGGGAAAGTAAATTTTGCTTCTGGATTGTTTAGGATTAGTGGTCTAGAAAGTTTATAACAAGCATGGCACAGTGGCCCTGGTGGTCAACTTTGATGGGATTAAGTCAAGGTTTCAATATAAGCAATCTCTTCATTGGTTTCACCTGCAGCTATTAGCTGAAGAAATCCTCATGTATCTTTCCTCCTCTACTCTCTGGACTTTGTCCTTAAATTTAGGAAATCTTGGGTTTTTTTCCTTTAGTAGTGCAGTGATATACATGTATACATCATTCTTTCACATGAACATCCTTTGTTCACAACTATATATGCATATACCAGGGGTCTATGGTGGCAAATAGAAATCAGTGTTTGGTAGGAAAGAGAATTTTCCCAGCTCTGAGATTGAGTGAGACCTTTATTCAAAGTGAGGTTCTGTCTGAAATCTTCAAACAAGAATATTACACACATGGGTGCCTGCACACACATTTAATGACACCTATATATCAAGAGAAAGACAGAGACAGAGGGGAGAGAGAGACAGATAGACAGAAACAGAGATACTCAGCCCAAAGGCACTAGGAAGCACTTAGAAATCAGCATGTAGAGTTGTGTAGACTCAATATTGGGTAGTTGTTAAGAATAGGAACTCCGGATCTCTGAAATCAGTTTCTCTGAAATCTCTCGATCTCTGAAATCAAAGTTTCTAAATTTCCATTTCTCCAAGTCCAGAATGAGAACACTGTCTCAAATCATTATAAATTGAGGGTTCAATTAGATGTTGTAAATGAAGTGCTTAGCACAGTGACTTCAACATAGTAAACACTCATTAAATGGTAGCTATTGTTTGTGAAAAATAATTTTTAAATTAACATGATCTTACAATAAATAAAAATTCTACCTTTCAGGTTGGCGCTAGGATCCATCTGTTAGAAACACAATGAAGTGTCACGAAAAGAATGGAATTGATTTGTTCCCATTGTCTACTGAACTAAAGAAATACAGGAGGAAAACCAAAGTTGACATCAAACAACTTTGCACAGTGGTGTGGAATTTGAATGGACTTTTAAAACAACAAGTGGAAGAAAAATGGCAAGATTAGTGGACCAGAAATACAACAATTAGAGAACAAGACTCCTAAAGAAGAATAAAAAGATTTCATGGGGAGAAAATGTGGGTCCTGGCCTCTGCTCCACCACTCATGGCTTAAGGACCTGAGCAAATCCTTTGACTCCGAGACTGAGCCTGGGAATTAAAACTCACCCCCACACAAATGCAAAGGATTACTTGGGATCCTCAGGACCAGAAAAACTATGCTGATCCTGAACAACTAAATGTTTTCTTGAAATTATTGAATCATGATGCTTTTGTAATACGCCTGTTTCCTCCTCTGCATTGACTGCTCTGGAGCTCAGAATGACTGCACCCATCCTACATTTTATGTAATGATGTACGTGGAATTTCTCCATGAGATCTAACTCAGGAACAGGGAAATGCCAGGGCCATGGAGTGTGGGGAGGAAGAGCAGGGAAAGCATTTCAGTGATTGTCAGTGCAACTGAGAGCCTCATCCAGGAACAGAGGTTTACAAATCAGCATGGTTTTCTCTAGGGCACAGAGCAGATCACAAACCATTTGGGAACCAAGGATTTGGTAAGAAACACCGTTTATAAGTTGGAAAGTTATACTCCTCTTTGTCCTAATGAGAAAGAGCTTTGCCTTGTCTCTACTCAGAGTTGCCTCATTGGATGGCAAGAACTGGGTAAATGTGGCTATCAAAATATATATGAAAAGACAAAGTTGGGCATGATAAGAGATAGTCTTCTGCGTTGATGC